CGGTCATCTGGCAGTTCCACATGTCCAGCAGTCCAGGGTGTCCAACAGCCCCTGGACCAGCCTGTTGGGAGCCAGGCAGGGACCCGTGGGAGCCAAGCAGTGCCTGTAGTGGCAGGGCCAAGGGAGCACGCCCCTGAACAGGGACAGAAGGGCTTCAGAGCAGCCACTAGTTAACCCACCATAAGGGCACAGTTGGGAATTGGGGGAACACACTGGGCACCTGCAGTGCTCCCACACCTCTGTCCCAGTGGGGCAGCCTGGGCAATAAGCTGCCTAGGCCTGACAGTACAGCAATATTGAATGGGCCAGGGCTCCCTTAGCCACAACCCTGTGCTAGCTGGCTTTTCAGCTTAATGGTCACTGCAGGAGATGGCTCAAGCTTGTCTGAGCTCCTGGGACATCTCATAGATGTATGGTGAAAGCATGGATGGAAGACATCCCAACCATCTCCCATGTGGTAGCACAAATGCAGCTAAATAGCTGCACCAATCTCCTGCCGAGTGCTGGCTGCATCCAAGGAGCTGTGGAAGGGTGTATGGACAGTGTGCAACTCCCACGGAGCTGGGTCTGAAGGCCACACATCTCCGGGGGTTTCCTGCAGATGTGGAGCCTCCATCACACTAGGCATGGGTTGGGCAGCATCCTTCTGGAGAGGATTAGAGAGTCCTGGGTGGTGTCCTGAGCACCTTCCCAGCCCTAGGATCCCTTCACCAAGCAAAGAGTAAATGAGTTCGGTGGGTTCTCACCACCAACATCCTTTGGTGTTTGCAGTACATGGGGCTGATGTGCAGGGAAGTCTTCTCTCCTGCTCAGACAAGAGATTCCCAATAGGGAAGTCTCTGGTGGTCTTGCTGGTTGGAATTTTTTTTTTTTTTTGACATTACATCCCAATAAGTGTGCTTGCAAGAGTCTCGCTGACCTCCCAATGCCCAGCTATGGGCAGTAGCTTGTGCAAAATGCACAGGTGGTTTCAAATCTACAGGACTGCCCCCTGCAAATGCATGTTCTTTGCATTGGCTTTCAGAGACTGCCCCAGAAGCCACTGACAACCTGCAATTTTCACAGTCCAGATTTATAACATCCTGGTGCAGCGCCTCATTTGGCAGGGTGCAGTGACCCTAGGCGCCCCGGGGCCTTTGCGTCTGTGATGCCACAGCACGGAGCAGCCAGGACCCTCCACAGCATGAAGCTAGGAAGGCAAAGCCATGTTCCTCCTTCCCGCTGAGTGACATTGGTATCAGGCCACTGGCAGGGACTCAGATGACAGTGACCATGCCTGAGACTGCCTTTTCCCCATTCCCTGTGCCACAGATGTATCGGCACATTGTGGCCGACATCCCACTAGCAGCATCCTTGGTGCAGAAGAAAGGTCTGGTGGTTTACCCAGTATAACCCACCGACTTTCCTTTTCAGACCTGAGCTTTCAAATGGGCTTGTGATCATTGGGTAGCCCCTCTTTTTCCCCACTGTGGCCCCAGCACCTTTCACATGCCCCCAGTCCCCTTCCACATGTTCAGCAGCACCAGGAAGCTTCCCCTGCTCCATGTCCCTCTCCCCCAGTTCAGTTGCAGGACCTGTCTGAAGGGTGCCCAGAAACACACAGATGGCCTTGTTCGGCTGATGCGTGAGGAGTTCCCTTGGGATGACTTTTAGCCCTGGGTTGAGCTCAGCATCCCTTTCTGTCTGTGAAAGTGGGCTGGGGAGGGAGTTAACTCCAAAGTGAGGCAGGAAGCCAGGCTTGGTGGTTGCATCCCCATGCCTCCCCTGGCAGCTGTGCCCACCTGGAGCTGCAGCCTCACTCTGGCTGTTTCCATAACCGTGATTCCCTTCCTATCTGCCCTCTCCATTACCTCCCTGCTGTGCTGAGCATGCCTGGTGCTCCTCTGCCCTGCTCCCGATAAGCCAGGGCAGGCTTGCACTGCCACACCTTTCCCATGCTGTTGCTTTGTGCAAGGATGCATTTGATTTTGGCTGTTTCCTGCCTTCAGTAAACATTTTTATCTTCTTTTCCTGCAGGCAGCAGATTCTGTGCTGCTCCTTTTTTACCAGGTCTAACCCACACCAAGGCAGAGGTTAGGCCATGGCTAGAGAGATAAGCTGGTCCCTCGGAAGATGCTGCCAGCTGGTAGCCAGAGGCTGGAGAAGCTGCTGAGGATGCTGCTGGGAGGAGGTGGAGGGAGGATTTATAGTGACATGCTCTGGGCTCGCTGGTGCTGCCAGGCTGGGGGACTGCACATCCCACAGGTATCAGCCACCCATCCTGCCTCTCCTTCTGGTCCCAACAAGGCTGTTGCCCATGCCAGTACGCTGCAAACGCAGCTTGATGCTTTCCATTACACCACTGTTTGAAGATCCTTTTTCAGCTTTTAGGCTGGAAATGTCCCACCAGGTGCTTGTCTCCCATTGAACTGTGTTTTGGAAAATATCAGAGAAAAAATAAACCCCAGCACTATAATATTTCTGAACACAAAACTAAGGAAAAAATATGTTTTTTTGTCAATGGTTCAAAATCCGTGCAGCTGTTTCAGCGGGCAGGACTGCACGGTGGGGCAGCAGGGAGTCATATGATACGAGGTGCTTGTCACCATCACCATCTGGGGTGCAGCCAGACTCTGCTCCTTGGAACAAGCCCCCACTCACATATGCGCTTGGGCTGCTCACGGCATTTGAGCGCAAGGGTGCCGAGATGGTTGCTCCAAGGATACGGGCTCTTTCCCCTTGCAACTCCCCCTGCTGCTGTACCCAGCATCCTTGCAGGCGAGCACACTGCAGCACAGGCTACGGGCATAGCCACCGCCGTTTTGTGCCTCCCCTTCCTTCAGGACAAGCAGAAAGCAGCTTCCAGCAGCAAGAGCTAAAACTGAGCAGGGTGGGGAAAGCCTGAGATATAGGGAGTGTTTGTTTGGGTCAATGCACCCAGAAATAAAAGAAGCAGTTGCTGTTTTCTGGCTAAGCATGGATAAAGGTTGCTGGAAATACAGAGATTTGGGGGGGTTTTCAAGGGCATCCAGAGCCCTGGGTAGACAGGAGCCAGCACCCTGCACCCGTACACAGCCCCTGCAAACAGCTACATGCACAGTGTAGCTACACAGTGCTACACGCACTGCAGAGGCATACTGTGGAGCTGCCTAGAGGTGCACAAGTCCCTTCTGTCCTGGAAAGAGGGCTGTGGAGGGGGTTAACTCGAAAAAAGTGGGGGGGAGGGGATCAAGAAGGGCTGGGTACAGATACATGAAGCTGCTGGCATGGAAGCTGCAACATCTGCTCCTGCAACAGCTACTCAGGTGGCTGTGGGTCTTTGTAGAAGCCTGCAGCAGACAACTGCTGCTCATGTACCCAGCCAGCCCCGAGTCCAACCGCACAGGCAGAGCCCAGACCATTGGGCAGCAGTGCGCTTCATGCCACTGCCACAGCATCCTGCATGGGCTGCAGAGGCAGCCTGCTGCTGGGAGTGCATCTCCTCTCCTCCCCAAAATACCAAGAGCCCAGCTGCTGCCTGCTCTGGCACTAGTTTTAAATACCAGCAGCCCTGGCTCCGTGCTCCAGCCACGGTCCCTGCTCCTCCAGGTGTTTTTTAAGGCATGTGAGTCTCAGCTAGAGAAAAAGACAGAAGATGAACACCTCTGGAATGCCTAAACTTCACCCCTTTGGTTTGGGTGGCTTGCCAGAAGCAGAGAGAACAATGCAGAGAAAAAGGAGATGTTGCTTTACAGCTGCCAGGCAGGGAAGACCAGAGATGTTCGTGGTCCTGCAGAGCCCAAATAAGCCCAGGAAAAACTGCCCCGAATTTGAGGCAGTGAAAGCCTGCAGGGTGCATGTCCCCCAAAAGCAGATCTTAGGGTGGGGATAGGTGCTCTCACAGCTGCCACCCCCCCTCCATGAGCAGCATACTCCAAGGGCTCTCAGCTCCCCCCCAAGCCCATAACAGAAAGCTCCACAGCTTCCCCATTCCCAGACCCAGGGAAGTTTGCCTCACTCAGTGCAGCCCATCTCTGTCTCCTTTCCCCAAACCCTGGCCCTGGCTCAGACCAAAGTGTGCAGCTGGAGGGGGCTGATAGCAGGCACTAACCCCGTCTTTGGGACCAGGGTAGTAAAGCAGGGCCCAGGGACAGACAGCTGCCCAGTAACTCCAGGACCGAGACAGGAGCAAGAACAGTTATGATTTAATCATCACCATTCTCTGCAAATCCAGTGTGTGACAGAGCTGAGCTGTGATACAGCTCCCAGTGCTCCCATGTGGCCACCACCTCTGCCCACAGCAGACCTGGTCCAGCATTGGAGCTGGGGACACAGATGGGGCTGGCCAGCTCCTCTCAGCTCTCCTGCCTGCCCCAGACATGTGACTGAGGATGGACAACCCTGGGCAACTTTGGCTCTGCTCAGCCGGGTGGGATTTGGGGAGAGCCTGGTCCTGCCCAGCTCTGGTCTGTGCAAAGCTGGTGAGCAGCCAGGTAGTGGCTGCCCTGGGACAGGCAGCAGGGACTCATCCTGCCCCTGCCCAGTGACCCTTCACGGTCACTCTGGCCTCTGCTATGGCATCTATCTCCATGGACCTGGAAGAGACCAAGCCCCAGCTCTGGCAGAGGCCAGCTTGTCCCCAAGCCACCCAGCCCACCCTGGACCTGAGCCCATGGCATGAAGCAGACAGCCAGATCTCCCTGTGCAATCCCACAAGGGGAAAACCCTGGGAGAGCATTTACTGAGGTGAGGGAAGGCTAGCAAGGAGCCCCAGCATCTCCCCAGAGACAGCCCAGGGCAAGCACAGCTCAAGACCCCAGGGATGGCAGAGGGACATCCCTCAGGACAGTGCCAGCTGGGGCAACCCTACACTAGTGACCTCCAGAAGGTGTATGTGGTTCAGACAGCAACAAGGACACTTCCCCTCCTAGGGCAAAGCGTGCTGGGGGGGAAACTGCAGCAGAACTGGGATGTGGAATGGCAATCAACAGTGGTTATAGGTGAAGGCACAAGAGACCCCGGGCTGGATGCCACAGTTGGGGTTAGTGGCTGGGGCCAAAGAGGCTGCCTGCAATGAGCCGCCTCTTGACCTCCCTCCAGAGAAGGTCCCGCTCCTGGTTCGCCCTCTGCATGAAGCCCCTGTTCTCCTGGGCTCTCCGGGACAGGTAGGGCAGCACCTCGTTCACTGGGCCGTAGGGCACGTACTTGTAGACAGGGAAGCCGGCTTGGCCTGGAGGGAGAGAGGCAGGTCAGGGAAGTACCAAGAAAGAAAAAAAAAAAAAAAAAAAGAAAAAGTGGGGGAAGGGGAAGGAAAAAAGGAAAAAAAAGGGTCGAGGGGGAAGGAAGAAGGCCTCCCTTACCCCCAGCTCTCCCCTTCCCCTTGGGCTGTGCCGATGGAGCTAGGGATGGCAGGCAGGAGGGGTGCAGTGGCTGGAGGCTGCAGTTGAGCACCGGGGAGGGGAAGCCTGGGAGTGGCCCCGGCCAGATGTGGCTGAGCTTGCCTGAGCAGGGGGAGCAGTGGTGCGTCCCTCCCACGGCTCAGCATGGGGAGCTTGGGAATGCACTGGGCAGAGCGGGCTGAGGTCACCAGGAGCCCTGGGAATGTCGGCAGCCAGGGCCGGGCCAATTCAAGAAGCATTCAACCAGAAACATCAAGTTAACACATTTTTCCAGCATGACCAGAGGAGGTTGCAGACAGGCAGCCAAATCCGGCTTGCGAGGGGAACTCCAGGACAGAGCAGCATCCACATCTGGACAACTGCCTGGTCTGCTTCCTGCTGCTCTCCTGTCCTTGGGTCTCTGCTCCAGACACTGGTGCGGGCAGGGGGATCAGTTCCTGACCTGAGCTGTTCTACCTAGAGCCTTGCATGTCCCTCTGTCCAGGCCCCTGGGAGCTCTGCTGCTACCTGGGCCAGCAGCAGAGGAGAGGACAAAGTCACACAAGAGCCTGTTGCCACCCAGCTAACAGAGAGCCTGGGACTTGGTGTATACCTCCAGCAGAGCAAAGTGACACTCCCAGACCAAGGAGGTACAAGAGGGGTTTGCTGGCTGCTAAGACCTGTCTCTGACCCATCTAGGAGTACCCTGATCTTGGCTCATAGTCCAAACCAGGAATATCCCTGCCCAGCCATCACAGTCTCATGGGGCCTCCAGGAGACAGATGTGATTCTCCATCTACATCCTCATCTACATCTTCCCCAAACCCCATGCAGGGGTCACAGCACTCCACACAGCTGGAGAAGAGGCAACAAGGCACTGGCTTCAGCCAGTCCTGCTCTCTGACAGACCCATAACCTGGCTCGCTCCATCCTTCAGACCCCACAGCAGCTGTTCAGGGAGACCCCAGGGGTCAAGGTGGGGCAGAAGCACATCTGCCAAGTCCCCCTTGCTCCCACCACTCACCCAGGGGGAAGGTGATATGGTCACACATGCCCAGCAGCTGCCCGAAGTACACCTTCTTTTCTGAGGGATGGATCCCAAGCTCCATCATCCTGCAAGCCAAGCCTTGGCATTAGGGAAGAGCAGAGACAGCGGAGCATGCAGGGGCAGTGCATCCCACCAGAGGAGCTGGGATCATCTCCAAGTATGAGAGCACGGCACTGACCACATCCCAGATGAATGCTGGGATGCAAGGATGTGAAGAATTTATTTTAAAAACAGCCTCTGGGCTGGGCCATGGGGCCAGCTCCACAGCTGCTGTGGGCTACTGTGCTGTGCCCCAGCTCCAAGCCCCAGCTGAAGCCCTGAGCATGAGATGGGAGCTAGGATCCCACTGGGTGAGCGCAGAGGAGACCTGACAAGCCACAGCACATCTCACTGCAGCTTTGCTGGGCCCGAACATCCCTCGAACCCCCAGACCCTACCACACTGTACTGCCTCCCCAGCACTCACCTGTGCAGGGTGAACTTCACTGTGTCCTCATTGTGAGATGCCACCATCACATTGGCTTTCCGGCTGTGCTTGATCTCCTCCAGGATATAGTCCAGGCACCTGTAGGACAGTACGGGACCGCATGGTGAGGCTGCCCAAGCCTGTGCCCATTGGGGCAGGAGGGAGGAGCATGGCTGGGCCTGTACCCTACCTGTGGTACATCTCATTGGTCTTCTCATAGGTGGGGTTGATGGGATCCTCATAGCCAATCTGGGCTGCCCTCTCCCGCTCCTGCTCCATGTAGGCGCCGCGGACCAGCTTGGTGCCAAAGTGCCAGCCCTCCCGGCGCGACAGCTCCATGTCCACTGTCACATTGTCGTAAGCTTCCTGGGACCAGATTGAAGAAATGGCACAGGGTTATCGCATCAGTGCCACCTCCACCGTGCACCTCCAGACCGCCAGCCCTGGAGTTATGCCATTGCATTGCCATGGCATCAGGAGTCAAGATCTTCATCCAACTGCTCCAGCATGTCCTTCCTGCCCAGACTCCTGCTGGACCTCACCTTCAGGTAGCATTGGTAGGTGTTGAAGATGATCGCCCGATCCCTGTTGAAGAGGCGCTGCATCTCCAGGGTAAGGCGGCTGATAGCTGGCTGGAAGTAGCTCTGCTCCGCATCCACCATCAGCTTCACACCCTTCTCCATGGCTCTCTGGGGGCGGGGTGAATGTCATGCAGGTTGGTCTGACCACCTGCCATGCACCCTCCCTCTCTCTCAGTGGCACCCGTGCCCAGCTCCCACAGCCCCAGCACCCTCTGACCTTGGCAAGGACATCTATCCGCTGCAGCATGCGCTTCATCTGCAGATCCTCCTCCTCAGTGAAGCGCGAGAGGAGAGGCTCCAGCTGCCCAGTCTGAAACAAGAACATCTTGGTGGCACCCTGCCTGCCTGTGGCCAGCCCTGCCCACAGGAGACAGAAACCTGCACCAGGGAGACACATGTTGGTGGCCAACAGCAGGGAGGAGGCAAATTACACGGATGAGTCCTTGTAGCACTCTAACCTTGGAGCAGCAGTAGTGGACTAGAACAGGGGACAGGGACAGGCTGACCTGCACTGGCAGTGCCCTCCCTGTGGGGCCACTCCAAGGGTAGCAGAGATGGATACCCACCTGCATGCTGGGGACAAGCAGCAGCTTGGAGAGCTTGGTGCGGCTGTCAATCAGGCTGTTCCAGTCCAGCAGGTCCACAGTGCTGGGAGCAGAGAGCCAGGTCTGTACTGGTGACTTGCAGGGGCAGGGACGTCTCTACTAGCTCCTGACCCCCACCAGCAAGCCTGGTGCACAGCATGTGCCACCCTGACCCATCTTGTCACCTCTACCCAAACCTCCTGTCTTCTTGATCACTGTGCTGAGCCAGTGCTGGCTTTTGGAGACCTCTCCTTGCTGTTGCCCCACTGCCCCAGGAACAGGGACAAGGTCCCCCAGTGTCCCCATCCTGCAGCACCCCCCAGGTCACAGGCAGCTTACCCGCTCACACCCAGGTTCTCGCCTGTGAACCAGTGCTGGCTCTCTGCCTTGGTTGCGATGCCGAGGTTGGCCAGGGCCTCCTGCCACCAAAAGGAGCATCAGTGCCAAGAGTCTACAGGGGTCTTACTGCTCCAGGGTCAGAAGTGTCACAGGTCAGGGCTGCTCCGGGATCCCACCAGCCACCTCCAGCAGTGCATCCCCAGCAGCACAGCCTCCTCCCTCAGACATCACCTGCCTTACCTGCAGCTTCTCCACCTCCAGCTTCATCTCCAGCGCTGCTCGCCCAGCCTGGCCCTGCTCTGCAGCCATTTGGTGGAAGAACCTCCGCCACTTCACCAGCACCTCTGAGAACTGCAGCTACAAGGACAGAGCTTGAGGTCAGACACCTGGGCTGGAACCCACCTGGCTTGGAGCATCCTGCAGTGGAGGCTTTGCAGGATCTTGCCCAGCCTGAGGCAGACCCTGACCCTATAGCAGGGGACCTTGGCCAAGCAGGGGCCAAGCCTAGCAGTACAGACCCCCCACGCCCTCACATTGGGACCTCTAAACTTCTCAGCTCTTCATGTGTCCCCAGAATGTCTCCAGGGTGGTCTCAGGCACATAGGGGACAGCCTGTTGGTGCCCACTTCTCTGCCATCAGTAGAGATGCGACTGCAGCAAGCCTGGCACCCCAAAGCATCTGCCCCACAGATGCATCATTCATGGCCCTTGCTCTGACCCACCTTGCCCTGGTCACAGCCCTGGCACTCACCAGGAACTGAGGTCTGCCCAGTGCCGTCAGCTTGATGGCTGAGAAGCCGTCCTCTGAGCTGCCACCTGGATGGAGTCACAAAGACAGAGCTAGGCTGACAGGCAGGGTGCTTGGGCAGAAGGGAGGTACCTGAGATATGGTGGTGGGCTGCAGGGTCCCTGCAGTCCTCAAGCACAGTGGGGCTGCTCAGGACATGGAGCACTTACTTGAGGCATCAATGCAGCGGAGAAAAGTCTCCATGTGCTGGTCACACTTGGCCTCGTCAGCATAGAAATACGTGCGGGCGCTGATGACCCCACCACGGCGATCCCCAAATCCCCGATGGGCTCGGTACTGCTTCTCTCTTTGCTCTGCTCCTGGGGTGGAAGAGGATGGAGATGGGCCACACAGCCCTGCTGAGCTCCTACAATCCTCCCCGGGAGCTTCTGCTGTGGGCGCAGGGGAGACGGGCTCCATTTTGGACCTCAAAAGAGCCCTAAGGGCTGCAATGTGCCCTGTCTGCTCTTGCCTGAGCAGGGGCTCACCCTTTGCTGAGGAGCAGGGTTGGACAAGAACCAAGATATTCTTCATCCAGCTCGTGTTTTGAGGCTGTGTGAGCTGGGTCCTTCCCCCACACCAGGCCTGCAGCGCCTGGATCAGCTGGACCTTCAGGCTATCTATCTCCTGTCAGCAGGAGAGGCTGGTCACTCACCTCCCATCTCCTTCTCGGCTGCAGAGGTGCAGGAGCTAAGAAGAGAAACAGGGAAGGTAAGGGCCAGGTCAGCAACCCCCCACAACCCCACACTGGTGGCCAGGGCAGCAGTGAGGTTCCTCTGCCACCAGCCTGGCATTGGACCCTGCTCTTCCCTTGCCATCCCATCACCAATGGATCAAACACTGCACAGTGTGAGCTCCACTGGCTGGTCAGATGCCCCAAACCCGGTCATGGAAGGCAATGGGGTTTCAACATCCAGGCAAGTGTTACCTGGAGGCTCTGAGGCAGCACAGGAAGGATGCTCTGTCCCACAGTCCAGAGCTGCTCTCAAACAGCCCACCCCACAGCAAGGACAAGGTCAGCCCTGGTGGGGCTGGGTGCTCTGTCTCTGACCACACCAGCCCACAGTCCTCACCATGGTGGAGCACTAAACTTCATCCCAACACCTCCCCACCCTATAGGCACCAGTGGCCAGACCATGAAGCAAGGAGCTCCTCCAGACCCAGGGTGCATTAAGCCGTAGGATGCCCTGCTGCAGCTTGGCTGCCCCGTGCTCCTCTGTGCCTTGGCATTAGCCAACAACTTACAAACAAGGTCTCAGCTTCAACTCTAGCTGACCTTGGATGTAATTTCAAGCCCAAGCCCTTTGCCACAGAGATAATAGGGCTCTGAGAGCCCAGAGGGATGCCAGACAAGTCATGAGATCCTCCTTGAGCTTGAGCAGCTAAGCCTTCTCGCTGACACCCTAAATCCAGCCAGCAGACCTGAGGTCTCACCCAGGAACACTGCCAGCCCCTGGAGAGCAGCCCTGAGTGACAGCAGAGCCATCTCCTCCAGGAGATCTCTGCCTTGGAGTCACTGACCCAAAATTGGCCGTGCCCAACAGTGGGGAAGCACACTGCAAGGTTAGCAGCAAAGCCACCCATCCAGAGCCAGAGGATTCACACAAGAGAGTGGAGAGGCACGTGGCATGGTCCCAGAACATGTTCTCCCGCATGCAAACCCTGTGACAGGGATTAGGGGCTGCTGGAAGCATAAACAAGTGGAGACAAGCCCTTCCCTCCTGCTCCCCGGAGCCAGGAACAGCCCCACATTGCTCAAAATGCAGCAAAGCCTGATGTGAACCAGGTCAGGAGCAGCCAGAGCTCATGGGGAGCAGCAGGCACCACATCTGGCAGGCTCTGCTCTGTGATTTTCCTACCCTGAAGACAGGTCAAGAAGCTTTCTGCCACTGAATACAGAGGGTGGAGGAAAGGAAGGAGGAGGCATCATACACCCAGGGACAGGATGTGATAGCAAAGCCCACAGTGGATGGAAGGTCCCCTCAGAGCAGGCAGCATGGTGCAGGGGAAGGTTTCAGCTGGACACACTGCTGGGACTCTGAGGACATATCAGGAGAGATGGGTTCTGTGGGCAGGTCCCAGCCACAGCACGCAGGACAGCTCTGAACCCCAGAGCACACCTTGCATCCAAACTCTGAGATGCTGGGGACAAGTGGCAGGGAGCAAAGCCTCCTCTGACTCACCCAGGGTGAATGCACACAACTAAATTAGCAAACAGCACCCTTAAATTTGAAGTGGTTTGTGTTCCTGAAGACAAACACA